AAATTGTAAGTAATGTGTGTGCGTACAATTTGTATGCAAATAATATAATTTTAACTGTAATTAGATTATGCCTAAATATATGTTTTTTTGATATTATTAAATTTATGATTTAATAATTATAATTATAATAACATAAATGAGTAGTAATATCTATATTCAGTTTTGTAGATTATTTGATTTTTCCCTGATATATATTGATATATATATATATGATATATATGTATATATATATATAAGTTTATATATCGGAATACAAATGATATTTGTAGCAGTTTTGTATTTTTTTTTTTGTAGAAATATTTTAAAGAAAACATGTACATATAGGAGAAACGGAGAAACGGCACCAACACATCTTCGATTCTTCATTCTTATTGCACACTCTAAAAGCTTTTGTATGAAAGAGTATGTGAGGCAATAATTCTGAAGATGATGCATGGTTTTGTTTTTGTATATTTTTCACAAAATATTTGATTGGTTTTCTGCACAGGCAGTGCATAAATTCTTTGAAATTATTACTTCTTATTTTTCAAGCATTTAATTATTGGCGTCGTGTTAGTTGCCTACTTGAGCCCTTGCTTCCCTCTCTTGTCCTGTTTACAGTTATAGCGTTCGTACGGTTGTAGTCATAGACGAAAAAACCAAAACCAAACATGATTTGAAGCGCACAGGGTCATCCATTAAATAAGATGGATTTTATTAATAATATATTTTTATTGTTTTTTTTATATGTTTATTGTGTTTTTAAATAATTATTGAATACATAATAGTTTAATGTATGTTTTATATGTTTATTGTGTTTTTATATTATTTATTTGTGTAATGTTATTTATACCTTATTTATGTACATACATACATATGTAAAACAAAAGTTGTATTTGTTACATTTACTTTATTTGTAAAACCGCTAATGTAGAATATTAGCACGTTAAATAATAACTGAAATCAAGAGTCATGATGTGTGCAAAATAACTGTGTCTTCTAAGTATTATTAAATAAACTAATATCGGTAGAAATTAATTGAAGACTGAACAATATTATTTATGTACAGTCAGCGACAAAAACCTACATACACCCCCATTTCTGCTAGCTCGTAAATCCAAAGACATAATAGAAAAAAGTAATGATACAGTTTTGTTTAGAACTGTTTTTTAATAATAATAAACAAAAGAAAATTCATTCATCAATATAAATTAACGAAGTTATTCGAAAAAAACCTAAAAAAATCATTGACAAAAGTCTACATACACTTCATTGATTGTTACATTTAGTCGATAATAATTTAAATATTAAACGGGAAAGTACCGTTTTTCATATTTCATGCTTGTGGCATGAGTCATACACTTATATAATGTACTTAGTTGTGCTTTGAGAGTGGTATTTAATTGACACGATGGGTCCACGAAAAGAAATTACAAGTGATATGCGAAATCTGGTTATTAAGCATAGAAATGAAAAAACACCTTATGGTAAAAATATCAAAGTTAGTAAATTTGACTCGATCAACAGTTCAGACGATAATAAGAAATTATAAAAATACTGGTTCTCCTGAAAATAAACCTCGCAGTGGCCGCCCAAGGATACTCATACGTAGGGATGTCAGCTTGGTTTTAAAAGAAGTTAACAAAAATCCGAAAGTAAGTGCCTTAAAATTAGTCGAACACATTGATAGTGCAACTAGGAAGCATAGTAATCTACGTCAAAGCTATTTTTCCTACTTCAGTTGCAGCTACGGCTCCCCAAAGCATAGCACTGCCACCACCATGCTTTACAGTTGGCATTATATGCTTCGGATTCAGTGCTGTTTTCGCTTTCCTCCAAACTTTAGCTCTCCAATCGCGTTCAAATATATTGAATTTCGATTCATCTGTAAATAAAACCTGCTTCCAGAAATCAAAATCCTTTTCTTTATATTGTTTGGCAAACTCTAAGCACAGCTTTCGGTTTTTTTCAGAAATTAAAGGTTCTTTGCGTGGTATTCTATCATGAAAACCGTGGCTGTTCAACGTTCTTTGTACTATACGTGGATTGACATGCTTTCCAGTTGCATTAGCAATGTGTTCGACTAATTTTAAGGCACTTACTTTCGGATTTTTGTTAACTTCTTTTAAAACCAAGCTGACATCCCTACGTATGAGTATCCTTGGGCGGCCACTGCGAGGTTTATTTTCAGGAGAACCAGTATTTTTATAATTTCTTATTATCGTCTGAACTGTTGATCGGGTCAAATTTACTAATTTTGATATTTTCACCATAAGGTTTTTTTTCATTTCTATGCTTAATAACCAGATTTCGCATATCACTTGAAATTCTTTTCGTGGACCCATCGTGTCAATTAAATACCACTCTCAAAGCACAACTAAGTGCATTATATAAATGTATGACTCATGCCACAAGCACGAAATATGAAAAACGGTACTTTCCCGTTTAACATTTAAATTACTGTCGACTATATCTAACAATCAATGAAGTGTATGTAGACTTTTGTCAATGATTTTTTTAGGTTTTTTTCGAATAACTTTGTTAATTTATATTGATGAATGGATTTTCTTTTGTTTATTATTATTAAAAAACAGTTCTAAACAAAACTGTATCATTACTTTTTTCTATTATGTCCTTGGATTTACGAGCTAGCAAAAATGGGGGGTGTATGTAAAGTTTTGTCGCTGACTGTAATTTATACCCATCATCAGTATTCAATATTTTTTATTAGTCAAACATACATACATATGTATATCCTTCAAACTGAAACTGAAGCTGAATTTTTTAACAAATTTCATTTCATCATTATTGCAATTTTTAACAAAATTTGAAGTTAATAGGGTCATCTATTAAAGAATATGGATTTTGACTAAAAAATTTATTAAATAAAATATACATATGTATGTATTTTACATGACGACTTTGATTTTTTTAACAATATTGACCATGAAATTACGGGACTTTATTTACATCAATAATCTTTTGATGTAAACAAAGTCCCGCAAGCAGAGTGACAAAAAAATTTAACAAAACAAATTTCTAATTGTTGTTCGCATTGCAGTGAAATTTAATAAAAATAACTGCATAACATAAAAAATGCGTGTGCAATATTTTCCTTAAATTTGTTTATGCACGCCAACAAAAGAAATAGTTACTACAAATTTAACAAATTTTTGCTAGTAACAAAAAAATAATCAATACTTAATTGTTCTTATATTCTTCATTTTATTTATTCTACTCTAAATGATTTTGTATGAAAGAGTATGTGAGGCAATATTTCTGAAAATGATGCATGGCTTTGTTTTTGTATATTTTTCCTAAAATATTTCCTAAAATATTTTTCCTGAAATATTCATATGTATATACATATGGTATGTACATACATATATGAATCACAAAAAATCACGTTTGACTGATTTGTTTAGAAAAATGAATAAGGATAATAATGGTTTAATACCACGTGCCGAATTCATATATGGAATAATAAGTACGATTATTTATATAATGTAGAATAACTAAATAATGTAGAATACCTATTATTTATTTTTTAAAGAATTTGACACTTCTCGAATGGAAATGGGTGCACTGGCAGATCTTTTTGATCGTAATGGTGGAGACCCGATTGGCAAGAACGCAAACCAGCAACTGATTCAGATAAAATACAATATGAAGTTAAACGCCTTCTTATCCTTTGCACATGTCGACAAAGATTCCGCTGATGAAGTTACGCTGATGAAGTTAAACGCCTTGTTATCCTTTGCGCATGTCGACAAAAATTCCGCGTATTTCAAGTTGGCGAAGGGAAATATAGGATTCGTAAAATACTATTTATCGGATCTTAAAGCTTAATACTCCATCTTCTTTTTAAAATAATATTATTTTTGTATAAAACAGTTTGGCGACTCGACTCTCAAAAATTACGTTTGGTGCGAATGTTGCGTAGCACAGTTATGGTTCGTGTAGGTGGCGGCTGGCTTGCACTTGATGAGTTCTTATAAAAAATTTTCCTTGTCGCGGTAAGTAAATAGTTAAGAATTTTGTACTTTCTCATATTGAATAAACATAATTAAAATATTCATATGCTTATAATTAAAACATTGAACAATGTACAATTTTACTATGAAAGCATGTTAATGCTTGTTATGTAAATGTAATAATAATGTTATATTACGCTAAAGAAATGTTTTAATTATAAACATATGAATATTTTAATTATGTTTATTCAATATGAGAAAGTACAAAATTCTTAACTATTTACTTACCGCGACAAGGAAAATTTTTTATAAGAACTCATCAAGTGCAAGCCAGCCGCCACCTACACGAACCATAACTGTGTGTTCAATCACGAACATGAGTTTTGACCTCTGGCAGAATGTTCAATCATGAACATGAATTTATACCATAAATTTAATTATTATAGTTTATATCATCACCTAAATTCTTAGAATTATGTACTAAGGAAAAATATAGATAAATAGTAACATTTTTTAGCAACCGTATTTAAATTATTAAAATAAAATATATTCATAAAAACAATAGGAGGAAAATCCCAAGTGTTGGGACTTCCGTCCTTTTTTAACCTTTTTTAACCTTTTTTGACAAATGTAATACAGTCCATTAAAATTATAATATTTTAACCTTGATGTAGAAATTAGTCTTAAAATATTTTTGTATAAAAACACAACATTTTTGAAATAAAATCAGTAGCTAAAAATTACTCAAAGTGTGTGTACTTTAATTTATTAAATGTACATTTTGGTCCTTCGAGACATAAAGTGAAATTGAGTACAGTGCGATCCAAGCGTGGACCGAGGCTTAAACATCGGTGCCATAAACTAAATATAAAGTGCAGTGCTAAAAGATACAAGCGTGGACCGAGGCTTAAACATCGGTGCCATAAACTAAATATATAGTACATAGCGATACAAGCGTGGACCAAGGCTTAAACATCGGTGCCAAAAATTTAAATATAGTGCAAAAAGCATTGATCGAGATTTAAATATCGGTACGGTAAAAAGAAAATGGATCCATCAAAATTATTAGCTCTGCTAAAACAGCAAAGAGCAATATATGACGATGTTAAGAATATCGAGAAGAATAGCAGCAAACGTGAGTTGCGTGCGAATACAATAAAAGAACGTTTAGATAAAGTACAAGGATTATGGAATCAATTTAAAGATAATCACGAGAAAATACTCTTAACGGAGAATAAGGAAGACAAATATTTTAAAGAGGACTTTTACAATACAGTGCATCAAAAAGTGATTCAGGCGAAAACAATGCTCGAAGAAATAGTTGAAAGCAAAGATAGAAATGCAGAATCTGTTGAAAGCAAAAGTGTAGACGAGAAAATAACGGAAAGTCAAATTGAGAAAAATAAAATCAACAATCTAGTAGAGCAATATAACAATAACATCGCAAGGTTAAGACAGATGTTAGAAAATCTTGACCATTATGATACTGTCACGCGATTGGAACAACTTAATGGAATCTGGAAAAGAAAGTTCGAAGACATTAGAAGTATCTATAAGAAGCTGGTTATTGAAATGTCGTACAATGAAGTAGACATTATGAATGATTATGATGAGATTGAAGACCAATACGATAAGGCGTTAGATGAATTAGCCAATAAAATGGAAAAATTACGTGAGGGGAACAACGTTAAGCTTGACTGCATTAGAATCCAAAATTTCAACGGTAATATAAAAGGCTTATCCATGAGGATGGAAAAATTTCGAATGTTGAGAAAATGTATCGACTCAAAACATTAGTAAAAGGAGAAGCAAGCAAGCTGATACAACATCTACCGGTGTCGGAATTGAATTATGCTGTAGCTTGGGAAATTTTGTCGCAAAGGTACGAAAATGAAAGAATGTTGTTCACAATATTGGTCGATAAATTGCTCGATCAACCATCTGTATATAATGATTCAGCGTCAAGTTTGAAAAAGTTGCTTGACACATCGATAGAATGTATCCAGGGGCTGAAGGCAATGGGTATAAAAACGAATGAAGCAGATCCAATAATAGCAAGGATTATAATCAGGAAGTTGGATAAGGAAGGATTACGGCTATATGAGCAAAATATAAAAAGGACAAAGGAGATTCAAAAAATGGACGATGTATTACAGTTTCTGGAGCAGCAATACCAAGCAGCAGAGGCGATTAAATCTAAGAAACAAACTAATAATGTAAAGTCTTTTCAAAAAACAACAGCGACAACTATAGTAGCAAATGATTACCAGTGCTTTTACTGCAACAAAAAAGAACATATGGCAATAAAGTGTTATGAGTTTCTAAAGCTACAAGTCAAGGACAAAAATACATGGGTAAAAGACGCTAAAATTTGTCGCGTCTGTTTATCGCATAAAACTACAAAAAGATGCAATAGTAAGACAAAATGTCAAGATTGTGGGAAGTGGCATAATACTCTTTTGCACATTAATTCAGGGCAAAATAATAATACATCAACATTAACAATGAATACGGGCACAGCAGAAAATGTGTTACTTGCAACGGCGCAAGTGCGCGTAAAAAGTGTTCAAGGTGAGATGATTATGTTAAGGGCACTAATTGACCAAGGGTCGCAAACTACAGCTGTATCAGAAGAAGCGGCACAAATATTAAATTTACAAGGAAAAAAGTAAAAATGGAGGTGCAAGGGCTTGGAGGAACACCGGTTGGCGTTGCAAAGGCAAAAATAAATCTTCAAATTCACCCACGATTCACCAGTAAATATAAAATAAATGCAGAAGCATTAATTTTACCATCATTGGTATCTTGTCAACCGGATAAAACCTTTAGCTATAATATAGATAAGTGGGAAAATATGACCTTGGCGGACCCAAATTTTAATAAATCCGATAGAATTGACATAATCATAGGAAGCGATCTTTACGGAGAAATTCTTGAAGGCGGTCTACTTAAAAAAGATAAAATATTGGCGCAATCAACAAAGTTCGGCTGGATATTATCAGGTATTTTACAAGCAAAAAGAAGCATTAAAGGATTCATCTCTTCCAACGTCGTCAACATAGAGAAGTTTTGGGAAATAGAAGAAATTCCAGAGGATGAAGATTCATCAGACGACGGATATTGTATGAAAAATTATGCTGCGACAACTACCAAAAATGAAGATGGACGATTTGTAGTTGAGTTACCTTTCAAAGAAGAACACCAACTTGGCGACTCATACAAAATGGCGATGGCACGATTCATAAATTTGGAAAGAAAATTACAGGCAAACCCATCATTAAAGAGAGAATATGTCGAATTCATGAAAGAGTATCTAGCTGATGGGCATATGAAAAAAGTAAGTTCAAAAAGACAGGGAAAATATTATCTACCTCACCAAGCAGTAGTAAGAGCGAATAGTATCACTACTAAGGTGAGAGTAGTTTTTGATGCTTCGGCAAAGACCACGAATAAAAATAGTATAAATGATGTATTATATGTTGGCCCAAGGTTGCAAAGGGATATCTTTGATATATTGTTGAAGTTTCGACTGAAAAAATTTGCCATAGTTGCTGACATAGAAAAAATGTATAGACAAATATGGGTGAGTAAAAATGATCAGAAATACAAACATATTTTGTGGAGAAGCGAGATTAATCAGCCAATTGAAGAATACAAGTTAACAACTGTAACTTACGGTATTGCCCCTGCTTCATTTTTAGCTATAAGAACTTTATTTGAAATAGCAAATGAATGTCAGGATAATCACATATCGAAAATAATTAAAGACGATTTTTATATGGACGATCTTCTAACTGGCGGTGATACAAAAGAAGAGTGCAAAAGTGTTCGGCTAAGGATATCGGCACATTTGGAGAAGTATGGATTTCATTTGAGAAAATGGTGCTCAAACAGCATGGATATAGTAGAAACGGTGGAAAAATCAAAAGACAATGAGGTCATTGATATAGATAAAGAAGAAAGTATAAAAACGCTTGGCTTGCAATGGAATCCTAACAATGATATATTCATGTTTAAGATAGCAGAAAGTAGAGACGTCTATATAACAAAAAGAATGGCATTATCGTATCTAGGTAAAATATTTGATCCATTAGGACTATTGGCTCCAGTTACAGTATTGGTTAAGTTATTTGTGCAGAAGCTCTGGATAAGTAATTTAGATTGGGATATGAAATTAAATGAAGAAATGATGAAAGAATGGAAAAACATTGTGCAGAACTTAGACGCAATACAAACAATCAGAATTGAGAGATGGGTAGGAGTTACCGGAAATGATGAAATATGCCTGGTGGGATTCGCTGACGCATCGGAAAAGGCCTACGCAGCAATAGTGTACATAAAAACGCACGCAAAGGTGTCCATAATAGCAGCAAAAAGTAAGGTAAATCCTATAAAAAATAGAAAAACATTGCCGAAGCTTGAGCTGTGTGCAGCGCATCTATTGGCAAAATTATTAAATAAAATTCATAACATAATTTACAGAAAAATAAAAATGTATGCATGGAGTGATTCCACGATTACATTATGCTGGATAAAAAGCAATTCAAGCAAAAATAAATTTATTAGGTCAAGAGTAAATGAAATAAGCTCGTTAATTCCAAGCGCCAATGGGTTTTATGTGCGATCAAAGGAAAATCCAGCAGACCTAGCATCCAGAGGAATTCAGCCGGAAAAGTTAGAGAACCAATCGTTATGGTGGAGAGGTCCAAACTGGTTAAACGATGATAGAAGGACATGGCCAAAAGAACAAATGGCAGCTAAAATAATAAATATCAGTAAATTAAGAGAGGAAGACTTATTTAATCAGCTCATCGAGAAATATTCATCTTTTAGAAAATTAAGTAGAGTGGTAGTATATATTTTTCGTTTCATAGACAGACTGAGGAAGGCTAAGTCTCCAGAATATCTAACTGTAGAGGAGTTTAGAAGAGCAGATGCAGCTATTTTTAGAAGTCATCAGACAACACAATTTTTTACGGATATAAGCAGATTGAAAAATAGCTGTGAAATAGATCATCGAAGCAAAATGGCAAATTTGAATCCGTTTTTAGACAAAAACCAAGTTTTGAGAGTTGGAGGTCGATTAATCAATGCAAAAATTGGTTTTGATAAAAAGCATCCAATAATTATAGCAAAAGGTCATTTGGCGAATTTGATAATAAATGAAGCACACCGAGAAACATTACATGGTGGACATCGATTGATGGAAAATGTTATAAAAAGAAGATATTGGATATTTGGACTTAAAAACTTGATTAAGAAATGTATACGTGAATGTGTAAGGTGCACCCGTTATAAAGCATTAAAGCAGAAGCAGCTTATGGGTGATTTACCAGAATATAAGGTCAATGTGTCTGCTCCGTTCGCTCATTGTGGAGTAGATTACGCTGGACCATTGCTAATAAAATGTTCTAAAGGGCGAGGCCAAAAAACTTTTAAAGGGTACGTAGCGGTATTTGTATGTATGGCAACTAAAGCTTTGCATTTAGAGTTGGTAAGTGACATGACATCAGACTCATTTCTGGCGGCGCTGAAGCGATTGTTTGCACGCAGAGGCAAATGTTCACATATATACTCAGACAACGGTACTTACTTCGTTGGAGCATCCAAAAAATTAGATAAGGATTTACAACAGGCTATTAAAAGCAATGTAAGTGCAGTTAGTGCATTGGAAGCAGAAGGTATAAAATGGCATTTCATTCCACCGGCAAGTCCTCATTTTGGAGGTTTATGGGAGTCGGCCGTGAAGTCAATAAAACACCACTTGAAAAGAGTTGTTGGCGAAAATAAACTTACTTATGAGGAGTTAAGCACACTTCTAACTCAAATTGAGGGCATACTTAATTCACGACCGCTTTGTGCAAATGTTGACGACAATGATATATTAACTCCAGGTCATTTTTTAATTGGGCATGCTATCATTGACTATCCAGAAGCAGTAGATGATATGAACATATCTTCATTAAATCGTTGGAAGATAATTCAAGCAATGAAGAAACATTTTTGGAAACGATGGAAGGAAGAATATTTAACGAATCTTCAGCAGAGGTACAAATGGAAAGGGGTTCAAGCAA